CTTATTGTAGAATACTATACCTACACTGGACCACCACGTTTGAGATATCTTTTTCAGGTAGTTCAGACACAAACCACGGCAGCTTATTGTAGAGTACTACCTACACTGGACCACTACGTTTGAGATATCTTTTTCAGGTAGTTCAGATATAAACCACGACAGCTTATTGTAGAATACTACCTACACTGGACCACCATGTTTGAGATATATTTTTCAGGTAGTTCAGACACAAACCACGGCAGCTTATTGTAGAATACTACCTACACTGGACCACCATGTTTGAGATATATTTTTCAGGTAGTTCAGACACAAACCACGGCAGCTTATTGTAGAAATTCTTGTCTGAACTACCTGAAAAAATTGAATCATTCCTTTAAACATAGTCGAAACGTCAATGAAAATTGTTTCTTTATTCATAATTAAACTAACGAGTTTTATTGTGTATTGAGTTGACAAAATTGTGTCACCCGCAACAGGGCACCCAAAAAATATCACCGACGTGGATCAAGTATTTCCCAGCAGGCATAGCAGTGAACGGAAGCAGCCTGAACGGTTTGAGCCCACTGAGTGATTTCCAAGGTCTGGGCAGCGGTCTGAACGGGATCACCAACGGCTTTGCTGGAATAAACACGATCAATGGCCTGGGGACGATTAACGGCTTAGCCACCATCAACACAACCGCTGGAAACTTTGCAATCAACACCGGGGGCGCATCTACGAATGGAATCAGTTCGGTGAACGGGACAAATCAGGCACGGATGAACCAAATTAACGGGTTTGCGGGTTTGAACACTATCAACGGTATTACGGGTATTAATGGTCTTCAGGGAATAAACACTATCAACGGTATAGGATTGAATGGGATAAACGCGACATTTGGGAACAGTTTGGGAAATATGTCCGCATTTAATGGATTGAATGGGTTTCAAACGGACAACGGGAACACTAATGGATTGAACGGGACAGGCGAGGGTATCCAATGGTCGCATAATCCCATTGTCTGTTTTTCTGATGCAATTCTAACAAACGGCAACGCTCAACAGCAAAGTAACGGCACGGCACGAACCACGACGATCATCCCCGAAGTACAGTTACCGTTCGCGCTCGCGTCACGCATGGACACGCAAGGTGCTTCGAACACAACGTGCACCTCGATTTACGCTCCCGTGAACACGAACGGAGGGAAAGCTGCGACGTTTACCGTTTCGAATCAAATCGCCAACGGGATTCCAACCGTCCAACTCTCGAGGCAAATTGGGAATGACTTCAATGCGCCTATCATGAAGTTTGTTAATACACCAACCTTCCTGCCTGTCAGACCTTGACGTCAAAGATTTTGGGAGGTTTAGAACTGCGCAACTAGGAAACACTGTTAAGGAAACATTCTTTCCTAGCCTAAAGTGGCGAAACCAGGAAAAATTGTTTCCTAGCCATGTTTCCCAAAGGTGGGCAAACCAGGAAACATTGTTTCCTAGCCATGTTTCCCAAAGGTGGGCAAACCAGGAAACATTGTTTCCTAGCCATGTTTTCTGAAGGTGGACAAACCAGAAAACATTGTTTCCTAGCCATGTTTCCTGAGGTGGACAAACCAAGAAACATTGTTTCCTAGCCATGTTTCCTGAAGGTGGACAAACCAGGAAACATTGTTTCCTAGCCATGTTTCCTGAAGGTGGACAGATCAGGAAACATTGTTTCCTGGCCATGTTTTCTGAAGGTGGACAAACCAGGAAACATTGTTTCCTAGCCATGTTTCCTGAAGGTGGACAAACCAGGAAACATTGTTTCCTAGCCATGTTTCCCGAAGGTTGGACAAAACAGGAATCAGTGTTTCCAACCTATGTTTCTCGAAGGTGGACAAACCAGGAAACATTGACAAATGTTTCTTAGTTTGTCTTTGGAAACATGGCCAGTTATGAAACGATGCTTCTTGTATGTTTCCTAGTTTCTTAGGACATAAACCTACCTTTTATCTGGCAGCAAAGAATAGCTTAGTCTTAGTAACTAGCGAACGGTATAAACCAAACACACCACAACAGCAGAAATACTGCATTCTTGGCGATGCTAATTAACATGTGGAAAGAAAATATGTAAGCTTATTTGGGGTAGAGATTATATTTTGAATTACGGTATATTGGCAGATGGCATTGATTTTCTATTTTCCGCACAGGACGTTGTTGAGGACAATGAAAAATCTAAGGGGAGGGGTGATTAAAATACCTTGCCTGGTCTGGTCTGGGATTATGACTATTTTCAGGGAAATCTGGCAATGAAATCATAGAAATTCCTATGAAATTACAGGGGAGGGGGGTGAGATGTTGAGTAAGCTGAATTCCAGCGGGTAACACTCTAACTTGAAAAATATGTCCTTAACCCTCCCACCTAATGCAGAAAATCAATGTAATCTGCCATTTATTTGACCATGTCAATGAAATAAAGAAATTATTTTTACATTTATGAATGATGTAGTTTGTTTTAGCTGTTGGGCGCGAGTTCGAAGCGAACTTCCAGCAGCAAAGTCTCCTGCACTTAATATAATGAAAGAAACGGGATTTCATTATTCCCTTTACCTGGGTAACAGCTTCTGCAGGGGTGGAAAAAATATTTTACTTTCTGGGACCGCAAGAGAACATTGAAAATTTTCTGCAAATAATCAAGTAAATTGACACTTGATACTGTAACTGTGTGATGCTAACAAGTTGTGAAATTGGATGTCATGCTATATTTTACAATTGGATGTCATGCAATATTTCAGTCCACTGAGAATCTTAAAAAATAGCATAAAACTAGGTTATAGATAACATGCATTAAGGGTCTGATCCTAAGGTAAATACAGATGCCATAAGGGTCTGATCCTAAGGTAAATACAGATGCCAAAAGAGGCCACTAGTAGGGGGATCCATTGAAAATCAGGTGTCCCAGATTGGCTAAAAATGCATTTGCCAAACAACATTTGTTACATCACTCCATATCATTCCACACAGCCTATAGTCTAATACATTTATACACAATTGCACTATTAAAATGGATGCACTTATAATTGCATTTCCGAGGTCATGGTTTTCCTCTGAATTTCTCCTATTATCTAAATTATGACAATTGTTTTCTTTCTTGGGGAAATATTTTCTGGGAGCTTAAAACATTTTCTCGGCCCAATGGTCCTGTGGTCCGATACTTTTTCCACCCCTGAGCTTCTGTGATTGTCATACACGAGCTCGTATCAGAGAGCTCGTATCAAGGTCAATTTTGATAGATCTCTACATGCGTAAAAACCACACAACTTTTCAACAAGATGTGTTCGCACTGCTTGTTCGCAATTGTTGTCAAGTCTGGAGCCAGTTATCATCTTGTAACAATACTGATAAGGATAACAGACTCGTAACAAGTTGTTCCAAGAAGCAGGGGCGTGGTGACTTGGGGGGGGCTTGGGGGGGGAGGGTGCGACGCCCCCCATTAATTATGAACTTTGAAAAGTTGGTCAAAATTTTTGAAAAGTTGGTCAAAATTTTTAGAAAGTTGGTCAAAGGAATTATTTAAATATTAAACGAAATCTTATATTATTTACAAAAATTTTAGAAAATCAAAAAAATGTTCTGAATTTTAGAAAAAGTTCTTTGATAAACGGAGAAAATTTGTGATACCCGAAAAAAAATTAATGTCGCGAAAAATGGGATATGTACGGAAAAATTTTTTTACCCCTAAAATGGTACACTGACCGAAAATTTTTTGGCCACGGGGGGGGGGGAGGTTGCCAAAAAAAATTTAGACAAAAATTTTTTTAAACACGAAAACGTTGGTCATTTTCATTGAAAAAGTTGGTCATTATGGTATGACGCCCCCCAATCTGGAATCGTTCGCCACGCCCCTGCCAAGAAGTCCAATATCGTCTGCACATAACATGTTGTGAAACGAATTGATGACAACAAGCTCGTAGCCGAACTTGTTACAATTAGACACCATTTTTTAGTCTTGTTGAAACAACTTGTTGCAAGTCTGTTACCGTCATCAACCTTATAACAACTTGTTCCAGACTTGTCACAAAAACTGGGAACAAGCAGTGCGAACACACAGGGATGCCGGAACGATCATAAGGCAAAGGGGGGCGGACACACACCAAGGGCACCTCTATAAAGCAAAACTTCAAAATCGACAGGAAAATTTTTCTTTTCTCGAAAATTTTCGGCGACCTACCCCCCAACCCGCCCCCCCGTCGCCAAAAAAATTTCGGTCAGTGTACCATTTTAGGGGTCAAAAATTTTTTCCGGACATACAAAAAGTCAAATATAAACTATAAATTGTCTGAAACTCATGGTTTTCGTACAAAAAGCATCGTTCTAAATGTGACTTATCACGTAATATTTCACAACTAAAAGGGCACTTCTGCCCCCCCCTGCCCCCCCCCTAGCAAAAGGCAAGGGGGGCAGCCGCCCCCCCCAGTTCCGGCGTCCCTGCGAACACATCCTGACATCGGCTCGACAACAACTTTACTATAATCTTGCGCATTTTTGGTGTGTAGATAAAAACACTGTCTATATATTAACATGAACCTTTTATGGTTGTCGAGATTTCGAATCTGATCAGCGATCACGTCTAATCTTTCGTCTAATCTTTCTCTAATCGTCACAATCTTTCTCTAATGCAAATGATCATTTCTGCGCCTGTTCACTCTTAGACACCAATGACGGGAATGCGCGAAAATGACGTCACTGCTTCTCAGAACCAAAACAACACATGGTAAATAAAAACAAAGTTGTATATATCTGCATATTAAACCTTGTATATTTCTACACAATGGCTTAAACTAGGCTGTAGCCATATGGCAGAAGACGATGAGTTGCTACCCAGTTTCTCGAACTCGCCTCTCTTTGGCGAGGCACACAGGGAACATTTATTGTCGTTGTACCAAAAAAACCCTCGCCATGCACGGAGACGACCGATCGTCGCGATGTTTGCTGTGGTTTATTTCTGCATCAGCGCTTCCTATACTGTTTTAGCGCCATTCTATCCTCTGACAGTAAGTGGAACGTTTAAAACTTGTTCATTTCGTCAGCGTGCTTATGACTTGAATTTATAGTGATTTTGGATGAACTTCGCAGTTTTGATATATCAATTATCACTTCCCGCTTATGGTAAAATAAATAAATAATTTTTTTCAAAGTTTTCGATAATATTTTAACAAAGACTGGATGCGAAGGAGATCTATATTGCCTCAAAAGCGAAAAATATATATATACAAGTATTAAAATACAAGTAAATATGTATCTTGCATAAATTATATATAATGAGCTCATTACGAATTCTGTTTACTCTGCTTTGTCTTGCTTACAGTTGAGTCAAACTTTTGGTAATTTCTCATGCAATTTTCATGCAAATTTGACCAAATTTTAATCAATTTCTCCTTGGGAAACGTCCATTAGTCCCACAAACTTTCGTATTAATACGTTTGATATTTTACGTAAAAATATGAAATTTAAATAAGCGAGCTGCACTAAGGACTTCGCGTTTGCCACGCGTGTGCTTTCGTTTTTCCCGCGAGCGCCAAGCCATTGCGCAATGTATACATTGCACCACACACAGCAAACACAAGGGGAAAATAAAGATTTAGTTTCTTTGTTTCCGATATAAAAATTAAGTATTTAACGCAAGAAATAATACTTGTCGCTCATTTGTGGTTCAACCTTTTGCAAACGTGCTTGAATTGTGCATTGGTGTTATAAAAGTCGCTCAAAAACGTCCTGAGTATTAAACAAATATGACGGACAATGACCCTGGGGATATTAGCGGCGGCGAAGCTGAAACAACTCCGCTTTTGAAAGCAGCGCCAGACAGGCAACTCTCTGTTGCCTCGGAAAAGACAAGGAAAACGTTGATATTGATGACTTTTGCCATCATCTATATCACAGCGGCAGCATCGTATTCTGTCATTGCACCTTTTTATCCGACAGAAGTAAGTATTAGAATAGATATTTAATACTTTATGTACATTGTGCAATGTATAATAATTGCAAATGGCATGGTGAGCTGTAGATTTCACTTCCACTAGTACTGCAACCATTCACTGACCCGGTACGCTGTACACATGTGATTGGTTGATCGGATAGATTGAATGCATCCGATTGGCTTGATGTTTAATTGCAGTTGTAGCGGCATTGGGAATCTATTAACATCACTAATAACTATGTAGATTTTTCCTGCCATTTTATTTGAAATAACTATAGAATCCCCTGCCAACAGGAACTTGTTTTAAAGAAGGTCCATACGCCTACGTGCTTACACAATATGCGCCTGCTTTGCGGGCCTATGTTACTACAACTGGCTACGGGTACATGGCTATGCGCCTACGGGCCTACGCGCATGAGAAAGGTGGTTTAATCAATCTGGTATTGTTTGCTTATGTAGGCGAAAGAAAAAGGTGCGAATAGCGACGTTGTTGGTCTGATATTTGGTATGTTTGCATTAGTAAATGTCTTCATTGCACCCTTGGTTGGATCCTGGGTAAGTGGTTACAAAATTAATTGTAATTATTAATTAAATTAATCAACTAATATAACCCTAATGATATAGCTTATCCAGATCAATGCACTATCACTCTCCCCTTGACTAGTAAAATCATCTGTTGTTAGACCGAGTAAAATAATAAAGAAGGGTGCATAATGAGATGCATTGTGCAACTCAGTGGGTTAAGGCTAAACTCTGCCTGTGATTTTGTTAATTTTTGTTTCATTTTTTAAGCTACCAACTATTGGAGTTCGTTTCTTTTTGTTCAGTGGAATTCTGGTCATTGGTGTTTCTGAGTTCTTATTTGGGTAATAAACTATTAAATATAGATCAAGGGCTCAACCTGATTTATTTCTAAGGGGTGGATGCTAAACAAGTAATTTTTTATGTGGCCTAAGTCATGAACAACTTACAAGCTAAACAGTGAATTTGCAATATGCTTCTGCTTATTTAGACCTAGCTTTCACCCCTGGTGAGCTTAATTAAGCTGGGTCTTATTTTTGTGTGACAATTCAATGTATAAAATAATGTATTATACGTAGTGATGCACCAATATTGAAGGACCAATATTTTGCCTATACCGATTTCAATATGTCATTTCACAAAATTCAAAGATATGACATCATGACAGTTCTACTTTATTACTTTTGAATTTAATTCAATTCATTTGTTTCTAAATACTGAAAATATCAAATGAAATGCTGCAAATGCATGCAATAAACTAGTATATTACTACGCCAGTGACTGTTTATTTGTAATAAAAATAACTATTGAACTGCAACTATAACCAATCATTAATATTTAATAACAGCTTGTAATATTGGTAATATCAACAACAAAATTACTGATACCAATATTTCTATTTTAGTCTGATAAGCCGATTGAAACACTGATATGGATATTGGTGTTAAGTACTATATGAATGCATGGCCCTTTAATACATTCAAGTTTCGAATTACTTTATTGTGACACAGAAGTCAGCATGGGCAGATTTACTGGGGGGGGGTTAGCTAAGGTGGGTTAGGGGGGGTTAACCCCCCTCCCCCTAGAATCTCTCTAACCCCTCTTATAAAGTGTTCAACCAAAATTTTGCTTCACCCCTACTATTTTGTGTGAAAGTCTTTAACTTTAATGCCTATAACCCCTGTCGAAGCTCGCTCAGTGGTTCCGCTTGCACCCCACCAGAAAATTTTCTACCCCTCCTTTAAAAAAATGAAAATCTACCCTTGGAAGTCAGTCTATTTTCATCCTTTAGGTTTTTGAATAAAATGCCAGATGGCACTGTCTTCATAACATTTTCATTTGTTATACGAATATTTGACGGAATTGGTGGAGCAATGGCGATGACGGCAGCTGTGGCTTTCTTAGCTCAGTGTTTTCCAGATAATGTTGGGAGTATTATGGTAAGTGATTAACACTGCAGCTAATTGCTTATTGTCGATTTCAAGTCACTTTTCAATGCACGGTTTCCAAGTTCGTTGCAAATTTGCCAATTACGTTTCCAAGTGCATGAACTTTAAATGCAACAAAGTTCACAAGTACATTTCATTATGGAAAGTTCTTGATCCAGACTGGGCTACCAAGAAGGTTTATTGGTTATTACTATTGAGTATGAACATTTGTTTCCAAACATTATAAGTTCAAACATTGAAATGAACTTGCAAACGTTGTTGCAAAGTTTGCGCCCAATTTCCGAACTTGGAACCATAATCGGCAAGTTCACAACAAACTTTGGAACTGCACGTTGAAAAGTGACTTGAAATTGACAATAACCCACAATGAGCCATATGGTACTCTGTCTATGTAATGAATGATTATTCTACGATTTCAGGGTGGTTTAGAAGTGTTCACCGGAATTGGTCTAACCTTGGGACCTCTTATTGGAGGTGTCCTATATGAGGTAATGGGGAGTTTACGCATGTTCTAAGACAACAACATCAGGACAATGGCCATCAATACAATGACATTAATCGATCCTAATACACAAAACAAATGAATAATGAATTAAACATCTAGCAGGGGTTTTAGTAGGCTTGTGGGGACCTTCCCAAATGCTGGCTGGTAATCAAACCTAGTGTTTTAGACATCGTCCAAGCTCCGTTGACATTACGGCATAAAGCATATTTTCATGTTTTGTACGTATTTGTATGTGTTGACCAGTTCATTTCCTAACTTCGAGGAGTACCTCTGAACAATTCCTCAACAATTTGATAAGTTCCTTAAAAAGTTCCTAACTTCCTGTTTCATTGACCAATTAGATTGCTCAAAAATAAAATTTGATTGGTCAATGAAACAGGAAGTAACTTTTTAAAGAAATTTTCGAAATTTTAAGGAATTGTTCAGAGGTGTTCCTTCAAGTTAGGAAATGAACTGGTCAACATTTTTTGGGGCGCTTCTATTGGCACGACTGTAATACTTGTTAACATTAACAACAAGGTCTCGATCATTACGATGCATTCTGACTTAACGGTTACTAGATAAATACTTTAATTCTTACTTTACAGTATGGTGGTTTTGGGATGCCATTCTTTGTACTGGCTGGCTTAATTCTTATCACTCTTCCAGTGTGTATATGTATTTTGCCTAAAGTACACCAAGGTTTGTCTGATGTGCCCTACTTTATTATTTTACTCTGTCTAACGCCAGACGATTTTACTCATCAAGGGGAGTTTTCTGCCACTCGATAGGTTATTCAAACTATCTGCCTATGCATCCTGTTATTGCCCTGCTGTGCCATATACTTTATTATTTTACTCATGATGTCTAACACCAGACATTTTAAAGGGGACATGTGTGTTGGTGCTCAATGGGTTTGTCAGACTATCTGCCCATGTGTTTAATTAATTAACCTATTAAGTTGCATTGTGCCCTACTTTATTATTTTACTCTGTCTAATGCCAGACAATTTTACTCATCAAGGGGAGAGCTGGCACTCAATGGGTTAAACAATTTGTTGAATGATCAAATTATGTTGCGATAACTAATTCTCTATCAACATTTCTTTCTTCATTTCCAAAATGCAGCTGCTCCATCAGAGGAAGAAGGGGGGAAAACTAAACCTTCACTTTGGAAATTTATTAAAATACCTGCATTTACCATCATAGGTTTGTAACGTGATGCGTTTCATGTTTATACTGTATATCAAGAGGATAATCCATGTCCATTTTTTTCTCATTGGAAAAGAATTAGTGGGTAATGTGAAGTTTTGGAATTTTTCTTTTGTTGTTTTCAGCGATGTCAATTGTAACTGGTGGCATGGCAATAGGAGTGATTGAACCTACGCTGGCACCACATTTGAAAAGTCAGGTGAGCTCGTTTGATTTCTAATTTTGTTTTTGTTCATCATCATCATCACATCGACCATCGTCACCACCATCATCACCACTACTACCATGACCATCGTCACCACCATCATCACCACCACTACCATTGACCATCGTCACCACCATCATCACCACCACTACCATCATCATCACCACCATCATCATCACTACTACCATGACCATCGTCACCACCATCATCACCACTACTACCATGACCATCGTCACCACCATCATCACCACTACTACCATGACCATCGTCACCACCATCATCACCACCACTACCATTGACCATCGTCACCACCATCATCACCACCACTACCATCATCATCACCACCATCATCATCACCACTATATCACCACCACTATTTGGTATAATAAACTGTACCTTTTCTTTTTAATTAGTTCAACATAACCAGCACTACCAAAATTGGTTTACTGTTTTTTATGTTCTGTGCTTGTTATTCTTTGTTTGCTCCGTTGTTTGGATGGATTGCTGACAAAACGGTTGGTATAAAACGTAAATCAAACTAACTTTATTTAAACTGGATAACTCTATCAGTTCTAAACTGTTCTCTCTTTTTCTGTTTTCTGTTTTCAGAATGCCAGATGGGTTATGACATTTGGAAGTTTTCTCTGTACAATAAGTCTTTTCCTAATGGGTCCTGTGCCTTTTTCATTTATGCCCAAGTATGCATGTTTCAATGTATATCAATGTGAAAAATTATCATAGACAAGTTTTATTTATTGAACTTTAGCGCGTGATGCGCATTAAGCAAACATGTTTCCATGTTTTAATTATTGTTCTCCTTTTCTCAAACCAGCAAACTATGGCTAACTTGTGTGGCTATGGGATTAATGGGATTATCAATTGGACCTATGATAGTTCCTGCTGTATCAGAATTAGAAAATATTGTCAAGTATGTAGCCTAAAATAATGTACTCCTTTCATGGGCGCCGGAGCCACGGGGGCAGGGGGGCGGCAACTGCCCCCCTTGCCCAAACAGTACGGGGGCAGCGCGGGGGCAACAGGTTGCCCTTTTTACCGGAGCTGCACTTCGAAATTTGTGCGTTATTCACAGGAATTGGAATTTATAACTATTTTTAAGCAATGTTTAAGTAATCTTTGCTTACTTTTAACCAGTTGTAGCAAAATTACTGATTTTACTTTTTTTACCGTTTACTGATTAGGGGTGCACCGGATTTGGAATTTTCAAATCCGTCCGGAACCGGATTTACCGGATTTGGACAAAAATTCCGGCCGGAATTCCGACCGGATTTGCCGGATTTCAGTATTCAAAATGACGGTTTATGTTTTTTACTATTTTTAGTTAGTGTCAGTTTAGATTTTTGATTGTGTTTAATAAACCTTTTTTAAACATGTTTTTGTTAATAACTTAATATTTTATAATAATATAAGTGTTTTTTAAACTTTAAAGCTGCCAAATTGATGGTTTATCCCATTCTTGGTGAATTTTTTAAGGTGAAAACAGAAATTTAAATCCGGCCGGATTTTCTCCAAATCCGGCCGGAAGCCGGATAATTCGTTAAATCCGGCCGGAATTCCGGCCGGATTTGAAATCCGGTGCACCCCTATTACTGATTTTATTTTGCGCCCTTGGCAGTGTGCAACAAATAAAATTGTTCAAAATTAATGGCGAAATTTGTCGACCCATTATAACCACAAGTGATCGAGTATCCATACAGTAAAGGTTTAGCAAATATTGCTGCCCAGAAAAAATGATGGCTGAGAAGCAAGTGCCCTTTTGAAATGGCTGCCCCCGCCGCTTCACATTGCTTCCGGCGCCCCTGACTCCTTTTGAGAAAGGCATAGTATGATGGATATAATCGTCTGGAAAACTGACAAACTTCAAAGCCACAAAGTAGAAGACCTTTGTTTGATGTTGAACTGTACCTCACCGCCGGTGCACAAATCCTTTGTCTCAACTTCTTTAATATTATTCATCGTCGTTGCACGTTTCATCTCAGCTATCCCTATTGGACGATTACTTCATTCTACGAAAATACAATGAGTTCAATCACTGTGCACAAATGAACATACTCAGACAATGACTTTTGTTCAGTTTCCAGACCATCATATCTTGATAGACAATAAATTATTCCAGCTGCAGACTAAATTTTGATCTAGGCAAGAAGAACAAAATCCATCACCACAGCTAGAAAGAGCATGTTAAAATTAGTAAAAGTGCAAAGTTTGGCCGCGAAATGTTGTAAAATGCGGAAAATATAGCCATGCGAAATTTGCAAATTTTGTATTAATTTGTACTACGTGCGGGAAAATGCACCACATTTGGGCCGAAAGTGGTGCATTTTCCCGTGCGTAATAGAAATTAATACAAAAATTGCAAATTTCGTAGGGCTATGTTTTCCTCATTTTACAACATTTCGCAACCAAACTTTGCAATTTTACTCATTAAAACATGCTCTTTCTAGCTGAAATCATCTACTGTGCTTTCCAAACTCCAGTCCAACGCTTTTCATTTCCTGTTTAATATGTTCTTCAGGGCACGTGGTTTTACTCTTGATCTTGCTGTGCACGGCGTTGTATCCGGTGTTTTTGGAGCGGGATTTAATTTTGGGTTAGTATAATATCAGTTTCCAACTGTTTTCTTTAGAGTTGTAGTAAGGGTCGTCCCTCATTTATTTATGAGTTACTAAAAGATGAAACCTAAATTTATTCTGGATAGATCTGTCAGTTCTAAACTGTCCTCCGTAGAAGTCCAGTAAGGGTTACTTACCTCTTATTGATCCAGTGTTACTACAAACCTAACCTAAACTAACATTTATTCTGGATAGCTCTATCAGTTCTAAACTGTTCTCCCTAGAGCTCCAGTAAGATTCATCTCTTATTGATTCAGTGTTACTACAGGAGGAAACCTAAACTAAACTAACTTTATTTATTTATACTAGATAGCTCTATCAGTTCTAAACTGTTCTTCCTAGAGGTCCAGTAAGGATCATCTCTTATTGATCCAGTGTTACTACAGGAGGAAATCTAAACTAAACTAACTTTATTTATACTGGATAGCTCTATCAGTTCTAAACTGTTCTCCCTAGAGGTCCAGTAAGAATCATCTCTTATTGATCCAGTGTTACTACAGGAGGAAATCTAAACTAAACTAACTTTATTTATACTGGATAGCTCTATCAATTCTAAACTGTTCTCCGTTGAGGTCCAGTAAGAATCATCTCTTATTGATCCAGTGTTACTACAGGAGGAAATCTAAACTAAACTAACTTTATTTATACTGGATAGCTCTATCAGCTCTTAAGTATTCTCCCTAGATATCCAGTAAGGGTCATCTCTTATTGATACAGTGGTACTACAGGAGGAAACCTATACTAAACTAACTTTATTTATACTGGATAGCTCTACCAGTTCTGAACTGTTCTCCCTAGAGTTCCAGTAACACTAAAATAGCTTTATTTATACTGGATAGCTATCAGTTCTAAACTGTTCTCCATAGAGGTCAAGTATTCAGTAAGGATAATCTCTTATTGATCCAGTGTCACTCTCTAATCTCTTCTGAAATGTTTTCCCTAGACATCCAATGCTATATAGTTGTGGTCTTACTATTCTAAACTAACCAATGAACTTCTTTTCCACAGTGCATTCATTGGTCCCACCTTAAGTGGTGTTTTTAATCAATATCTTCATTTTAATTGGACGTGCACGGTCTTTGGTTGCATTCTATTATTACAGGTGAGTGGTCGTGATACGATACAAATTAGAGGCCCTCAGGAGTCTGGCCGGAATTTTTTGCAACTGTTCCTGAGTCGTGTTTACACTACCAGCCTTCGCCTAGCCTTGGCCTGGCCTACATTTTGACAGTGTAAACATACTTTGGCCTAGCCTCGGCCTGACCTAGGCCAGGAAATCTGTGCTCACTACAACCGGTGGCCTAAGCTTGTGGAAATGTAAACACTTTCGGCCCTGGCCTGGGCCTTATTTTCATGGCAACGTGTGTCCACAGTGAGAGATTAGCGGACAACCAGCGGACAACGTCACAACACATAAAAATACACAAATTTAATTACAAAATTCGCCAGAGTGAGCCAGTCTCAAAAAAAATAGTGTGATGGTGTAAACGCGCCACATTTACGTTGGCCAAGGCTAGGCCAAGGCTTGTAGTGTAAACACGACTCTGGTTAGGTCTAATAGATGTATACAACAACAACTTTATTGTACTTCAAAGTATTACAATCTTACATATATTGAAAAAAGACAAATAAATAAGCAATTGGAGAAGTGCAATTGGAGTAGTGCAAAATGCACAATCGAAATTTCATCTACAAAACCAATATACTCCGTTATACCAATAACCTCGAGAGTTTAAGATTGAGGAGCATGTAAATTGTATATATTATTTACATATATGCACACTTTACAGGGCTTTCAAAATAAATGTCAATTCTGAAATATCAATTCTGCTCTCCTTCCTCCACTCTCAGCTGTCAAACAAATTTTTCCTCAACCTGCTCTACTTGACAGTATAGCCTGGTTATTGTCGAAAACGACGTAGTATTTCGTAAAACTGATTTAGTTATTTGCCATCTTAAATCTTCAAGTTACCTTGTTGAAGAATGAAAGTAGTGATACATTATAATTTGGTTCCAGAGCTCAGTTGTGTTGCTATCTAATCAATATACACTTGTTAATTTGGATGACTTTAAGACTTCCTTAAAATTGGATGACGTTATAAGACTCCCTTAATTTTGGATGGCTTTAAGACATCCCCAGACCCCTCCCCACAACCGGCTACTTTATCAACACAGCCACCTACTCAGAATAATTCTGAAAGCCCCGACTTTATTTTTATTTTAGAGCATATTTCTTCTTATTTTAACATTATCAGGAAGTGCAACGTTACCTAAAACGTAAGTTGGCGTTTATTTCTTTGAGTGATAGGTGGAGAGTTGAAATAAAGCACTCTTGCGAGGTAAAATTGTAATCATCAGGCAGTTAAATATTGCAGGAATTGTTTCACACTGAGTCGGGTCCCTCAAACATTTCTTACAAATCCTTAAAACTTCACAGAATTCACCTGTGCAGAATTCCTGCTGTGATCACAGCAGGGCAGGAAAAAAGAATTTTCTTCCTGGGTGCACAACCTGGAGACAAAAATTTCCTGCAGACCAACGGAGTATTTTTGTGCTGAATCTGCATGTGCATAAACATATAGTGTTCTAGCTGACCATGGTTTTAAATTGAAGGAATAATGTCTGTTAACCATATGTTGTTGTACCCATAGTGGAACATGGGTGTTAAGGTTTCCTTCAAATTTCCAATAGCAAATCTTCATTGAAACGAATTTCCTGCAGCTGTTTAACATTTCCTGCGAGCAGTGCTCGCGTGCTCGCCTATTTTTCCACCCAGCAACTTTGATAGTGTATAGCGGATACTAGGGGAGGGCAACAACCGCCAGGTAAACAACAATTTACACCGATATTTGTTGTCGTTGATTAGGAAAACACCGGAATCAACGTCAGTCGAAAACAATACGCATGAATCTGAAACGATACAGTCTTGATTTGCATTTGAATGGATGTGTCTATGGTACTTGATGTAATAATGGTCGTCGCCACTGGCCTCGGGCTATGATCGAACCAACATTTCCACATACATACATACACATACCTCTACGTACATCTACGCACACCAGTTAAAAATTGGACAAAATATTAACTAGATAGAATTTTTTAAAATTATACTATTGTTTCTAACAACAAGTGAACGATTTTTCCAGGCATCAATGGAACATTTGCATTATAGACTAAATTTTGATCTAAACAAGTCTAGACAAAAATTTCATCACAGCTTGAAAGAGCATCGCAAAATTAGTAATATTCCAAAGTTTCGTTGCGAAATGTTGTAAAATGCGGATAATATAGCCTTGCGAAGTTTGCCGTTTTTCAGTCATTTTCTATTACAAATGGGAAATTGGTAATCAGTTTGATCAAGGCTATATTATCCGCACTTTACAACATTTCGCAGCGAAACGTCGGAATATTACTAATTTTGTGATGCTCTTTCAAGCTGTGATGAAGTTTTTGTCCAGACTTGTCTAGATCAAAATTTCACTCAAAAGGGGAAAGGTCTATTTTTGGCTGTGTTGACAAAAACCCTCGCTTGCTTAAGCTCAGTCCACTTTGAACGACAACAACAACACAAACTTGAAAATGGCCATATGTTGGATGGAAATTTGGAACTAGATCTGACCCAACAACATCTCCCAAGATCAACTTTTAGAAAGAATCATCGAATTCTGAGTCGAAAACTCGAACTGAGTCAGACCCACTGTCGAAAGATTCCAAGTGGCTTCGCCCTTCACTGCCGCTGTCAAATGTATCTTTTGGTTTCTCTTTAGCCGAGATTTCAGACTTCTGCAGTTCAGCCATCGATTTTAGCGTTTTAAGACCATCGACCATCAACCCTCTATCACGCTCGTACCCCTGCCCCGTTGTCAAGGCAATAGATTCCTCCAACAACACCACTGCTTCATGATACCTTTGCTGTCTATAGTATTGCTTTACTCTGATCAACAAAAACTGCATGTGCGTACCACGTGCAACGTCTTCCCATAATTCCGCCTCGATCTTATCCAAATATTCACCCGCTTTTGTGACGTCATCGGCTGGAACTTCACGTTGTTGACCAAATATGGTATTGGCATCGAGCAGGGTTCGCGCTATTTTTAGCAACGCATAAAATTGTTGCTTTTTCCGCGTTTCACACAATTCCGCAACTTGGAGTTGCTTAAAAAAGCATTCTTTTGCGTTCTCGAGGACTGATTCTCCCGGCAGTGTCACTGTATCACTAATACCGTTTAAATAACTTCCGTAAGCATCGTAAAAGCGACACCAGTCATCGTAGTATGCCGTATTTTTCAAATTTTGCCGCGCTTCGTCCAAAAACATCTTAGATTTGCCCAATTTCCCTTTTGCTCTGTAGCATGCGCTCAGTACGAGACAAGCACGCGCGATGTACATTCCGGGGCACGCAGTGCTCGTGGCTAACTCGAGGGACGTCCGCGCGAGGTATTTAGCCCGCGCGAGACGATTTTGGTACAGCATCGATCGTGACTGTTCTATTAACACTGTAGCTCTGATATCCGGGCTTTCGTTGCCATAGCAACCAAGAAGAGCTGACGAACACTTGTCGAATGCATCAAAGTCCCCATTGTCTTGAAGCCTTGCCAGTTTTGCCATAATACCTTCACAAATTAAGTTTGGCTTGTAGCTTGCGCGGTTGGGAGACTGGAGCGGATTCATCACCGTCACGTGACTAAAACGTGTGCCTAACGGGGTCTGGTGCGATTCATACAAACCGGTGAAAACCTGTTTAAATTGCCCACCTAGTAATTTCAATACATCCCCAATACTTGTAACACGGCTATTTGTCGTGTTTTTAAGATCGTGACAACAGTCGTTGTCATGACAACAGTTATCAATCCAGTTTCTCTCGCGTCTTACTAAGATCAGTTTTTCAGGCTGGACGTTGTTCTCGGCGGGTCCTTGGACTTGTTTCGCTTTAAAAAATTCTCGAAAAATTACCAACGGTTTTGAGAAAATCCAGATAATATATCCAAATACCGCCCAAACATAATTCAGAAACGATAACTTTCCGGGAATTGTGTCCTCCAATTCTGTTATTGTTGCCATCCTTTCCTAGAAGTGCTGTAAAAAGATGAAAACAACATTTGATTCGGAGAATTTCGAACTAAAAATTGTTTCTTTGAAACGAGTAAATCGTCTGCCGTTAGACAGAGTAAACTAATAAAGTAGGGCGCACAAAGTAAGGCCCATCGACACATACGAATTGAGCGGCCATGTTGTATCAGTTTATATACAAACTCGAGCGGAAGGCGAGAGGTTGTATGTCAGATACAAGTATACAACACGAACGCAAATGCTTTATATAGCTTGTGAAACGTCTTGATGAGAAATTCGTATTCTTCCACGATTTAAAATAAATGAATGATATTTGGTGAGAAAATTAAACTTAAAGTTTATGTGAATCAGCATGATTTTGTATCAGATATACAAACTCCTTCACGCTCATGCTTTCGTTTGTGTTTTCTTCATAAAAAGTTTCGAGTTTCACATGTGCGTATAAAGATGTCTTTGAAAGAAATTTCCATTTTACCAACTTCGATATACTGACCGACATACAATAGTCAGACATTTCTAGTTCTATCAGTGATGATAAATATTATCCACTGAACAGTCTATCTGATATACATAGATATTAAGATAATCTCATCAGAAAGAGTTATGTGTTGATCTTAGGCCATATAAAATAAATTCCTTGATTCTCATCACCGCCCGACTGTATTTTAAGAGCCGCGTGAAATTTTTTTATATTTTGTTATACATGCGCCCGACAAAATATTTCAAGACAGTTAAGTTTTTTATATTTTATATTGGGTTTTTAGTGCCATTTTAAACTGCCAATTTCAAACAAATAGAACCTTGAAAGAAATTTCATTGCATTTTAACGGAACTTCGCATTCAGTTCAAGGGCCAGTCATTGTTCGTGGAGAGATATGTTTATTTCCGTTTGTGACACTTTTATTTAATATTGATATATAAATTATATAAATATAAAATATAAAATATAAACCTCCCGCCTCTTCGACATTTTCAAAGTGTAGTGATGAGAATCAAGGAATTTATTTTATGTGGCCTTACTGAAATATTTAATCACTACATATCAGCGGTTGATATAACTCAATAGAATGATAACGATAACATTATTTGCCATTAGTACATTACCTATATCTTGTCAATCTTCTTGTAAACTTCATATAACATCACGAGTTCTGGTCTTGTAAATTTCCTATACAAATCTTCATATAATTGTCATAATTCTTCGTTTGATTTCCTTGTAAATCTTCATAAAACATTACAACATAGACATGGTTTGCAAGGAAGTCGTTTTTGAAAGGGATTTTCCCTGCGCAGTCACAAGACGAGTGCATGTAGCCTAGAGTGCATGCTGATATTAAATTACGAATTCAACGGAACTGCGGTAGTTCACTAGTTCCACTAATAATTGTCATCAAATACGAAATGTACCTTCCTTAGTGCTTCGCTTGCGTATTTTTCATAAAATGAAACATCCAAAGTTTATCGCTGCTGGCTATATCTGCATTCATTTTAAAAAGTGTTATAGTCCCCCGAATAAGATTTTGGTATTTGGGTCATTCTTAGAAGGAATGTAATACATCCGTAAAAGGAAAAGCCTCACTTTGGCGGCAAACGTTTCACTTTCATCATCACATGAATTGCAAATTAGATTATTTGTAATTCAAATAATGACATCATGTCTGGTAACTTTTTTTGACAGTAAAAAAGTTGATCAAGATGAGTGCTGTTATAAAAATTTAAATATCTTGTATTTCTTCTCTATGGAATGACTCGAGAAGAAATCCTGTAGTGCCAGGAACATCCTAGCACTTGAGGGCCTATAGCTCGGACCAACCTCGTTCCCAGGGTCTCTCCTTCTGTACTTTGGGATCCTCGGTACGAGGTTGAGCGCGGACCAGCGGCCAGAGGGTCTGCACTTTTCGGGCTGAACGAGGTTTGCAGTGCGGGCTGGTGCGTAATTATATTCTCTTATTGATTGGTATTGGGTTCGGATCACGTTTTACGTGATGAAGAACAGCCATTTCACGTTTCACATGAAAAAGTTAACCATTTCACGAAACTTAAAAACGCGTTTCAATTGCGCATATTTACCGGTATTTCGTATCTTCAGTCTTAATGTCTTACACCGTACAAAACTGCAAAAGCTGGCTCAGTTTTAGACAAAAAGATTCAGATCATGATAAACTTGTGCCTGGATCAAAGGAGTTTAAAGGATCGGTGAACCTCATTTCGAGTATTTGTGGAATGTGGGTTTCCAAGCGCAGCAGTTGGTGGCCAACTCCCGCTGATCCTCGCATGATAGGGGGCTTAATTCGTAGACTATAACTTTATTTTCTCTGTTGACTGCAGGTTGAGCACCATCTGCTGAACGATAGTGCTTAGTGAAACCGGGCTCACCTTATCATGGCCAACCGCCACGTTTTAACACGCTAACGAGCAATGCGAAAGTCTGATACTTGGGCTCTGTTGTCAATTGACGTTCTGTGTTCATAAATATCGCGAAGCCAAACCACCAGTTAGAACCTGTCTTTGTTTATACTAAAGCGCAAACCAGAAACGTAGTTTAGTGCTTCGGCAACGTGTGAACTATATAATTCACGTAATAAAATATATTGTACGCTGACAACTTTGTCTTGGCTTTGAAGTTAGTCTCGAAGGACCAAATGCATTCTTTGGTTGGCTAAAAGTATTGTTTCATTGTGGAAAAGTCGAAGTCGCCTATTATAGGTATGTGAAGTTTTTTTACTGTTGTCTTCCCTTTATTCTTTAATGATATGTAATTATATAATAGACTTACTTATTGAATAGTGTTAGCTGTTGAAAAATTTACAGAAAAGTTTATATTTCCTGTTAAAAATTTTGTATCGAAGAGCAAACTGTATTCTATATAGCTATATGTGACTAAAGCATTGATGATTTGGATTTCACGGCCGGTTTATTAATGTTTATAACCAGTTTACATGTAGTTTTTGCCGGACATACGGTTCATTGTGGTTTGCATCCTCAGTTTTAAGTATACAGCGAAAGAAAAGCTGTACATGTGTTTTGAAAACTTTATAATATATAGACGTTGCATTGGTTGGTTGGGTTAATTGGTAGTCCTCGGCTCATCAGAAATATTGATACAGTTCAAATATATAGGTAATAGGAGCAATTATAAAATCAATTTCGGCATGTCTATTCTATCAATTATATTTGCCTCAATTATCTATACAATGCCAACATAGCACAGAGAGTGTCGCGAAAATATGCAATAGCTATGTTCCAAGAACCATTATTATAGGGCTGCTTGATCGAAGTATAAAGGGGGCATCAAACCTATATTGACATAACTAATAACACAACTGATGTATGTTTTCATTGAATGAACCAGAAATTATTTTCGACAGCCATATATGGCATATAACATTGGTTCTTCAAGATTAATTTTAATAATCCGATTTGGGTTATGTATACTAGTCTCAGTCTCAAAATTCATCTTATTACTATTAGCTGTGTAAAAATACTAAGCTGTCGCATTTTCGGGTTATAGACATGTTGCTGTGCCTGTACGCATAACTCCATTAGTGGTCAACCCTTTCGGCTAATTGGTTGTCTTAAGCCTAGTTTACACTATCAACGTTTCTGTGATCACAGTAGGAATTTTGCATAGGTAAATTCTAAGTGTTGAAAGGATTTTGTTAGAAATGTTTGAGGAAACTGATTCTGTGTTTAAATTAACATTGGATCAGTTCCCCCAAGCATTTCTTACAAATCCTTCAAAATTTAGAATTTACCCATGCAAAATTCCTACTGTGATCAATGAAACGGTCACATATTTGCAATTGACGTCACTGACAAATAATTTGACACAAAGTATGGCAAAGCGTATGCATTCATTAGCCGTCAAAATTTCACAAGTTTACTTCAGTAAAGGCTAAAGCTCCAGTTTATTGCTTTTATTTACCTTGATCAGTAATAAGAATTCAGAAAGGCAATTGGTTTTTTTTTTGGCAAATTCAGACAGTCGTTTCCTCTGCTGTCCGACATTTTACTGACCCAAAATCGCGTGATTCCTTAGCATGACCTAATAATATTTTCGCGTGACTTCAAGACGGCATGAATATTAACCTTTCGTATGTATTACAAATTTCAGGTCTACTCTTGGGGACCGCTGACTACTATGCTTGCAGACACAAGTTTCATCGTGACCGGTTCTGAGACAGAACAGTACCCCAAAGTTCGTAACCGTCATCATCACTCTTCGCGTTACCTCGCACCAACGAGCAAACGCATCACGCTAAACGTGAACGGAACACGTTACCAGACATACGAAGAAACGCTGAATAACTTTCCCGACACGCTATTGGGTAGCCCTACGAAACGTGAAACGCTTTACAACGAACGCACGGACGAGTATAACCTGCCTCGGAACAAGTTTGCATTTGACTCTATTCTTTTCTATTATCAGTCGCGCGGGATCCTCGCGAGACCCAGCACGGTCTCCGTGAAAGATTTCGATGAAGAACTTCTGTTTTATGAAATCTCGAACCCAGACCCTATGGCTATGTCAACGCGCGAAGAAGAATCGCAGGATCTGGAGCCATCCATGGTCGGGAAAAGTTTCAAGGAACGGATGTGGATTATTTTAGAGTACCCTAACAGCTGTCGGCTGGGCCAAATCATAGCACTAATCTCTGTAATGGTAATTGTATTTTCGATCGTGATTTTTACCATTGAAACGTTAGCATCGTTACGAAAGAAGCAAGATAGCGATCTTTGGTTTGCTTTTGAGACTGTATGCGTGATATGGTTCTCTGGAGAGTACCTGTGTCGGCTTTACTCGGCCCCAATCCGCCGCCATTTCGTATTCTCCGCGATGGGACTTGTGGACTTGTTGGCGATACTTCCATATTTGGTCACATTGCCTTTTAAGGAAGAACTGGACGACGTGCGCTCGTTTTTGGTCATGCGTGCTCTCAGATTATTTCGCGTGTTGCGCGTCTTTAAACTATCACGCTACAGTGTTGGGTTTAAAATTCTACTCTACACAATTATGGATAGCGTTGAACAAATGCGTCCGATACTATTTTGTACCGCCATTGCAGTCACAGTATTTGGCAGCATCGAGTACGTCGTCGAGGGGCCTGAGGGAGAGTTTATGAGCATCCCTCACAGTATGTGGTGGGCAGTGCAAACGATGTCAACAGTAGGGTATGGGGATATTGTCCCCATTACCCTCCTAGGACGGTTTGTAAGCGCGCTATGCGCTCTGAGTGGTATCATATTGTTCTGCCTACCTTCTCCTATATTGGTGGCTAATTTCCTGAAACATTATACACGCGCGTTTTTGAACCCACAAACTCAAGATAAACTTAGCGATGAACAAAAAATTCTGATTGAAAATATGCAGAGGATTTACCTCTCGACGAATAGATAGCTTGCGGGTTATAGTAATTGTAGACCCACTAATTTTTATAACCTCGATTCTCCCAGCATACGCCATACACAGGGTGTATCAAAAAAATGTACACCCTTTCAAATTCAAATTAACCTTAACCTATTGTAGTGATTTCACAGCCGTATAATTTCTCGAATTAATGAATGCGTGAAAAGACAAGGTCTTGTGCACATGGGAATTTAGGATAACTTCTATTTGTATGAACAAATACACAACTCAAAGAAAAATGTTTAAATTAAATTATTCAAGTCTGCATAAGATATAAAATGGGCCAGCTTACTGCAGAGCAACGAATATTTAAAAATGTTATGGCTAATTTGAATCTGAAAGGGTGTACATATTTTTGATACACCCTGTAGAGCGTTTGTACTCATTCCCCAGGGACCAACTGAACAAAAGCCATGGCTGCCATGTTGGTGTTCCAGACAAAAGAGTCTAATTTAAATTCTTTTGAATTGGAACACCAACATGGGGGCTGTAACGTCATGTGCAAACGCTGTACAGGGCGTCCCAAAAAAACCGAAAACTATTGAAATAACGTATTGTCAGAATTTGAATGCCTCAGCACTCTGTTGAACCCACACGTGCATCAAAGCTTGACGTAAGTAAATTTTATGCATAAAGAAACCGTTTAAGAAGCTGTTTTAAATTCCCAAGAGCAGAAAATCGTGCGCTTTACAAAGATATTTTAATTTCTTAATAAGGCAATATTTAATATATGCACCCTTGTCAATATTTTACACATCTTTGCGTTGAGCTTAGTGCTAGGGCATTCAAATTTTAACAATACGTTATCTCAATGGTTTCGCTGGGTTTTTTTGGGACACCCTGTACAGGGTGTCCCCAAAAAAGTAGTACCCTCTATAGAAATTTATCCTATTGTTGTTAAGCACTGGATTTTTCATGCGACTGGTAATTAAAAATTCAATTCAATTGTGCTTACGCACTCTTGTGTCCAGCATAGTGCTCAGGCATTCAAATTATAACAATAGGATAATTTCTATAGAGGGTACTTTTTTTTTTGGGACACCCTGTATAAATCGATAAAACAAGTGTTTCAAATGGCTTAAAAAAACGACCCATCTGATGAGTTCATTGGCGAAGTAATTAAAAAAAATTAATGTTGTCTAAGCCGAGAAAATCAAAGTAAAACCAAAGTTTTATTAGCACATTTTCACATACATGTCTGTACAAGTTAGCACATTTTAAGAAAATTTTATGTTGGGCATTAATTTTTATAATAAAATAAAATGTTTTAAAATAAAAGTCCAACTGTGAAAACTGTGTGAAACTCATTAGAATAACAATAAGATACGACTTTTATCTTCGAGTGGTGAAAACAATATTTTACGAACGAGCGCAGAGAGTGAGTAAAATATTGTTTTTAACACGAGAAGATAAAAGTCATATCTTCAAGCCACCGTGTAGTGTTCTGTTTATTATATAGTCCCAAGCAAAAAATTGTATAAATACTTGAAGATATGGAAAATATGTCACTGTGTATTTCTCAGTATCTCACTCTCTACTATATAATAAAACTCATTATCTATGTTAGTCAAAGTTTATTCATAAATCTGGTCCTTCGCCGTCACGTGTCTATTCTATTTTTTCCAAACTATTAACCAATAGCAATGTTTTAGAATGGAAATTGCTATTGAGTATTGGTGAATTTGGCAAAAAAATGTATATGTATAATATGTATATACACATTTGTATCTGACGGTGAAGGACCAGAATTATGAATAAACGTTGACTACTTGACTGACATAGATAATGAGTTATATTGTTATTCTAATGAGTTTCACAGGCATCTTCCCTTCGATAGGCTATGGTTTGAAGGAGTAATTTATATAGATTGTGCACCAGGGATATGTTATAAATATCCAAACCTACAGGTAGATAATATACAAATAATGAATGTTTCTTCGTGCAATGGTAAGAATATTTTCATTCGGTGAAAGATGGAATGTTCCATTCAACGAGGCGACAGCCGAGTTGAATGGAACATTCCATCTTTCACCGAATGAAAATATTCTTACCATTGCACGAAGAAACATTCATTATTTGTTTTATATAGTACCAAAATAGACTAATAGATTCGTATGAGAAGCATTTTGAGGGATGCGATTTATCGAAAACACAACGAGTGCAATTGTACTATACGTTTTATTCCATTGCACTCTCCGCGAGTGCAATGGAACGTGTTCCATTGCACTCTTGGGAAATGGTATTTTCTATTCAATATCACGTGACCATAAACAGCCAATTAAACGATTAGAATTCAATAAGTATTATATAATAAACCCTATTTAATTCCCTGCTAATCACATACTGTGCCAGCAGGGGCATTATTATATATATTTTAAAGCGCCCTAGTACCGGCTGTTACATTTTTGCACTTTTGCCACGCGTACAAATATGGCTGCCCTATTTGAAAAAAGTTTTTAAATATCGAACAACAGAACAATGCACTCTCGCAGGTGAAGAAAGATCCTTTTGGTAAGTAAGCTAAACTTTTATCAAGGAATTATTATGTATAATGTTTAGACTTTGTTTTATATGACCTCGGTTTTAACCGTGACAAACATGTTTTACCGTTACAGTACCGACATTACGCAAAATGATATAAACAGGGTCTCAACGGGGTCTCCTGCATTTTAATTGTCAGCTAAAAACCAAGCCATTCTTCAGCCGATTGTATGTCAGTTTACAGCTTGACCACGACGTTTTCTGATCGTTTTGTCAGCTGCCATTTTAATTAAGATGATTTGTCAGTTGTCAGTCAAAAATACAGGCGAATGTCACCATGTCAGTAGACAGTAGTCCTTAATAAACCCCCATTGAGACCCATGTTTTAGCCTCTTAGGCTTGTTATTACACGTTTAACCGCAGTAAATCAGTAACATATATGTATTTATGATTTTTAAAAACATTCAAAAGCTCCGGTATAAACAAAACGTGTATTTATAAATATTAGATTGTTGTGATTAATACGATTATGCTGTTAATTAAGTGAGTGGATACTATAGATAAATCACTGCGGTTCACTAACGTACGTGAACTGATATTTGATAGATCAAACACAACAGATCTCTACCATTTTCGGCTCAAAAATGGTAACAATTTCCGCGCGTAATACAAACATACTGAAAATATGCAAACTTCGCAAGGCTATATTTTCTGTATTTTACAACATTTCGTAACCAAATTTTGCAATTTTACTTATTTTAATAAGTTCTAAATAAAAAATTAGTCTAACATGCAAGTTCTCTATTGGTTTCCTTTATATTGCTATCAAGAATCTAATCCTATAGGCTATAGCCGGTGCCACGTTTTTTATTACAAGTTTTTTTCTGTCAATATAGCACCTGTGGCTGTATATAACATATACAACAGATTTTCTATCGGACAAGTTTTTTTGGTTTTCTGATCAGGCCACAATGGCTATTATTACCTATTTATACAATAATAGATCATAATTTGACCATTTATAAGTGCTCAAATTGCTTTGCCAAATTTTCTTAGTTAAAATTTCTTTCTTGCCATTTTTTTATTCAAAAGCTAGCATATGTCATTATTTACCAAATTTACATTAGTTAATTGTACATATATATAATTTGAGTATCTGCCATATCAGTAATTTTATATACGGTACTGTATCCAGTTTAAAACCCATTGAGCATCAGCTAGTGCATGCTCTCTCCTTGATGAGTAAAATCATCTGATGTTAGACAGAGTAAAATCATCTGGTGTTAGACAGAGTAAAATCATCTGATGTTAGACAGAGTAAAATCATCTGATGTTAGACAGAGTAAAATCATCTGAAAGTTGTACATTTCGTATCGGATAGAGGCTTTTTCGCGCCGCTACGGAATTAGCTATCCGGTATAGTATCAACGTAGCCTTAAGGCCCGGTCACGCTACACAACGATAACGATACGATAACTTGTATACGCGCGCTGATTGGCAAAAAAATTGTGTTAGTGTCCACACAACAACGAAAATGATAACATTATCGTTAGACGATAGCGATAACGATTTTAAAATCGCTCACCTGCATGAGCGATTTTTTTTCAGCCCGACGATAACGATAAATTTTTGACCAATCAGCGCGCGTATACAAGTTATCGTATCTTTATCGTTGTGTAGTGTGACCTGGGCTTAACTCTGTCTAACGCCAGACGATTTTACTTGTCAAGCCAGAGTGATGCCATGCACTCAATGAGTCAGAGTATCTGCCTATTTTATTATTTTACTCGGTCTAACGACTTTACTTGCCACTCAATGGGTTAAACTTAGAAAATTTGATGCTCTACAATATACATATATAATATTATTTTTTATTTAGATTTTGTTTACAAGCATTACGACACCAGTGAATCTTACACTGGATATTAAACTGTCCTTATCCCAACCGTAATCCCTTCTTCCTTAAAGACGCAAGCCTATCGTCCAGAATGTTTCGAAGAGCGCATTTATTTCTGATGTTTGCTACCTTTGGCATATGTTTCCTAGTCGCGTGGCGTGTGGGGCTTTTTGACCGCCAACCGTTACGACTAGTCAGAACTAGTACGGTGAGCCTACAAACATTAATACGAGATGTAAACAAAGTCCTCAACGAATCCATTTCTGTCAATCAGAATCTAGTAAAGCGTGCTGGCCCGGTAAAAACTGTTGAAACAAAACCCATTACAGCGACGCCCGTGCCTGAACAGACTTTGCCACCTTTAACAGCAGAGCCTCAAGACCGTTTCTATGGAAAAGGATGCAGAACGAATCGTTATCGCGAACGCTTACAGAAGATTTTGCACGAATGGGAAAATATTGCAAAACGCAGAGATATCACGCAATATTTTATATGCTTCGGCTCGTTTTTGGGCTCAGTACGAAATGGAGATATGGTCCCGTACGATTCAGATATGGATGTTTGTATGTTTCGACATGATTACCACAAGCTGTATCCAGAAGAATCGCAAAGACCGGTGAATCTTAATGACGGAAAAATTCACATGTTGCTACAGAGGCACTCGCCCCACCCAAGAGCGAACACACCTCGCAAAGACTGTAGAGGGAAAATCGTCCGCAGTGTCACAGATAATTGTGCAATCCTAGATCCCCACGGCCGGCTGTACCTCGGGGCTTTGATATACCTTGACATTTTCATGCTTGAGGACCACGGTGCTAGCTTTTGGGACGAATATCGCGATCGAATTCACCCACGTGATTCGATATTACCCGTCAAACCGTGTAAATATCTGGGACTAGACACGCAGTGCCCTAACAGTGCTGAGATGTATTTAAATGTTTACTATGGAAAGGATTACATGAAACCACACCATTTATGCAGAAATGGAAAATGGGTGCAAAATATGGCCGGAGCCAGAGCGCCATTTATTTAAGAGAAAATTAGTTAGCAATAAAATTCTTGTAGACGACCCGACAACAAGCTGAAATTAGGTATACACTCTGATGGCATTATTTTGTGAAGAGCTTCCACGAAACTGACATTTTCTTATAGCTTAATACACTCATGCATTGGTGAAGACAATATATGTTGGTACCTCTGAATTGATTTTGGAATTTTAAAGTTTCGCGTAATAAAAGTAGTATGTTGACTAAAATGCAAAATTTCACGTTTACTTTTCACAAAAATAAACTATACCATTAAAAAGATCGCAAAAAGTATATAGAAGATCAAGCCGGCTTTGAGTAAAAGGAGCTTAAAGTTGGCAATATAGTAACTTATATAGCATCAGCCATCAATTGGCGCTTTTTCTTTATTTTGAAGCGTTACTACTCGCTTACATGTCTTGTGTATACTTCATTGCGAACTTTCTAATCGCTATGAAAATGTCAGTTGCCTGCAGCTTGTAATGCCATCAAACAAATTGTGTTGCACATTTTCAGGTTATGGCCGGCCGTCTACAGGATTTTCAAGTGAGGATCTCGGACATCTCACGCACTCGATATAGAACTAGATGTTGAAGAATTTTTGTAAATACATAATTTGAATGCAGCATTTTTAGACCCAAGCAGGAGCAGGTCCGAAAAATGCAACTATACAACCCTCGAAATTCGCCTCGGCACTCGGCAATTGCCGACGCAAATGCCGAGGCAAGTTACGATTTTTCATTGTTTGCCTCGGCAAAAAAATGCCGAGGCAATTCCACCCGCTGTTCCTTAACTTACAAACTACAGTTTCTGTTCGTTTTTTTATTCTTAAATATACAAACTATACAGTGTTCGTTTTTTGTATCACTTCTTTGTTCGAATTGTTGTCATCGACGTTGGGTGGACAACAGAAGATTTCATTCATAGCTACTTTACAAAATATTTAAATTTGAGCTTTTCATGCAGCGTCGGCTTCGGTTGAAATAAAGAACAATCTTGATGGTTTAAAGACGGTACGTCGAGAAACTTTGTTTTATCTTTTAGACTGTCGCGTGATTTTACCGTCAAGTTTATTCTTTCATACAATTGGTTGTAAATTACCACTAACTTTTTAAAAACATTTTGAATCAGGAATTTGTAAAATAACAACAAATTGTCGAACGTCAGAAGTCTCAGAATCTACGCTCGTTACAATATTTGTTTACAATAATTTCCGTATGTACTTTACTTTAATTACAACTGCCGACGTGAATGCCGAAGGGTGCCGAAGTAATTGCCGAAGGAATTTAAGGTGATTTCATTGCGTGCCTCGGCAAAAAAAATTGCCGAGGCACTGCCGAGGCAAACTCGAAAATTATCGAAAGGCTTCGGCAATTATTTGCCGAGGCAAAAATAGTTGAATTTCGAGGGTTGCTATAGGCTCTCTGGCATCACCTTGCATTTGCATCATCTTAATGTAATTCCATGAACTTGCGGTCAGAGTTCGACAGCCGGACTCTATCGCTCAGTTGGTTCACACTCAATGAGTGGAGGTTCAATCTGAGCTTCCCTTGACTGTCAATGCTGTTTCTGAATAGCTGGAGGGTTAGTGTCGTACCGTACTACGTGACTACGTATACTTCAGCTTTTCAAAAACAACATTGACAGTCAAGGGAAGCTTAGATTGAACCTCCACTCATGCATTGAGTGTGAGTGTGCTTTTAGACTACTGGCGTACGTCTCTCAAAATATTGAGTTAGCTTTTAGACTACGGGCGTAAGTCTCTCAAAATATGATGGTCTGGAATACGGGCAAACTTCAAAATCATAATACATAGAAGACCTTTGTAACGGACTTTGTTTGATGTTGAACTGTGCTCTGACCGTACACAAACCTTTGTCTCAACTTTGTTAAATATTATTCATTGTCGTTGCACGTTTCATCTCAGCTATCCCTATTGGACGATTACTTCATTATACGAAAATACAATGAGCTCAATCACCATGACCCTGCACAAATTAACATAAACTCCGACAAAAACATAATACAACGACTTCTGTTTAATTTTCAGACCAAGCACTGCATCGGAATGGCATGGCCCGCAGGTTCGACACCTGTCAGGTGGCCTTCCTTCCCTCCCCCCCTCCCCCCGCTCATAAAACGCCTGTCAGGGGGTCTATAAACTGCTCCTCGTTCGGTCAAAAATACATAGAATTTAATAATAATAGTAATTACCATATTTAATTAATTTAGCCTGCATATGCGTGTCTGGCTCTACTTATCGGGAGGTGCACTCACAAGAGTGACTTTCAGTGAAGCCCTGAGCAAAAAAATAAAATAAAGTACTGATATATAGTAAATAATATATACTACTAATTATGATATCATTATCATATTATGATATCATTATCATTTAATATTAATATTAAAGCTCATTACTAAGGGTATCGTGTCTATATTATAGCACAGGGGCGGATTAACATTTCACGGGACCCACGTCATAATAGGAAGTTTAACCTTCACGTTTCCGGAAACGGCAAACAGGGCGGATTAACATAAACATTCAACTTAGATATTCAACGTCATAAACATTCAACTTAGATGTTTATGACGTCGATATTCAACGTCGTAAACATTCAACTTAGATGTTTATGACGTCGATATTCGACGTCATAAACACCATCAAGTTTGGTGTTTATGACGTCGATGTTCGACGTCATAAACACCATCACGTTTGATGTTTATGACGTCGATATTCGACGTCATAAACACCATCAAGTTTGGTGTTTATGACCTCCATATTCGACGTCATCAACACCATCTAGTTTGGTGTTTATGACGTCGATATTCGACGTCATAAACACCATCAAGTTTGGTGTTTATGACGTCGATATTCGACGTCATAAACACCATCAAGTTTGGTATTTATGACGTCGATATTCGACGTCATAAACACCATCAAGTTTGGTGTTTATGACGTCGATATTCGACGTCATAAACACCATCAAGTTTCATGTTTATGACGTCGATATTCGACGTCATAAACACCATCAAGTTTGATGTTTATGACGTCGATATTCGACGTCATAAACACCATCAAGTTTGGTGTTTATGACGTCGATATTCGACGTCATAAATACCATCAAGTTTGGATAAGGTTCCTGGCGGTGAGGGCAAGGTTCCTGGCGGTGAGGAGAAGGTTGCTGGCGGTGAGGACAAGGTTCCTGGCGGTGTGGACAAGGTTCCTGGCGGTGAGGAGAAGGTTCTTGGCGGTGAGGACAAGGTTGCTGGCGGTGAGGAGAAGGTTGCTGGCGGTGAGGAGAAGGTTGCTGGCGGTGAGGAGAAGGTTCCTGGCGGTGAGGACGAGGTCCTGGCGGTGAGGACACGCACTCAAACTTGTAAGTTATGATGTAGTTTTTAACTGACAGGTAGAGAAATGAGAGACGTAGTCTTAATAAACGTAGTCTGTACCATGCATTAAACGTAGTCTTAATAAACCTATTATTATTATATTATTTTATGAGAATCTAGTTTTCCGTGAAATTGCTTTTTTAAGACACGTGTATCGTGAAACGGCTTTTTTTCCTTGTGAAACGTGATCCATACCCCCCCCCCCTTTCCCACCCTCATTCAACTTAGATGGTTATGCCGTTGAAACACATTGTATGCTTGTAGCAACTTGATAAAATAACAGCATTGTTACAACTTGTTGACAAGCTTCTTAGAAAGTTGTCGGAGATATTTATGTGTACGAAATTAAATCATAAATTACAGACAATTGCTTTGTGTAGCCTTTCTTTATTGTGAGACATTCATTCTTTTGCATACAGCTGCCTGAACAGCCAATATCGCGCGTATATATTACGTCTGAAAATTTAAGCCAAATTTTCGAAGGACGATGGGAAGTTATAAAATCAAATTCTTAGAATCACCATCATTACTTTTGTGTTTATAAACTTTACAATCAACTCTAAACGATCGAAAGTAGAGACAACAGGACTGAGGGGTCCCAAAAATTACAATAGTTGTCATGTAACGAGACACTTTGTAAAGCTTTTGACTGTTGTACTTCATAATATGCAAATACTGCGGCGAGGACTGTTTTCTGTTTACAAATGACATCATTGTACAATTTAGATTTTAGGGAATTTTAACTGTCGTACACTGAGGCAGAAGGCAAACGAAATTGAAATAAAGCTATAAAGAAACCCAAAGTGTTTGTACAGAACAGGTCAGACGACTGAGAGAAGACTCTTAACGGCGACATCTGTTGAAAATTCGTTACAATTTGTGGGAAAAGCGAAGTTGAAAGTATTTCAAGCGAGGTAAGAATAGATTTAATCATGCGTGTCTGCCACATATAATTGACATAAATATGTTGAACGGAAAACAGTTAAAGATTGTGAAATTCGAAATGAAATATATTATATATTGATTATAAGAGTTGACATGGTTTGACGTAGTATTAAAAAATTTAACAAATATTGCCAGATTTTAAACAGTCAACGTTTTTGAATTTCAAGAGTCAGACATTCACGGTTAGTATAGCATAACGGAAGTTAATTGATTTAAAGTTCCGTGCTCATTTTTGTTGGAACACATATAATATGTCAAATATTTTGGAGTATATAAGTATATATTTTGTGGTCTGATATGTTTTGAAAATTTATCTTTGAAACCACTGAAATACAACTTCAGATATTCATTTGTGAAAGCAAAGCTAAAGGGCCTATTATAAGATTATTTTGCTACAACTCTGTCTCTGATTATTTAAATTGTTGTTTTTTTAGTGCTTTCAACTGAAAGAAACGATAAGAAACTTTTGTTGCTGGTTAGTATAATGGAACAGGAAAATAAAGACAATTTCCTTGTTCCAACTTCTCAATTCAAAGAATCTGGCATTTTCGAAGAATTTGCAAGCTATTTATTGGAATTATCCCCAACATTATTTTCAAAGCTACGTACCGGATGCGTGCATGACACGACGGAGGTTACCGCTGATACAAGTGAACGTGGACGCATCGTAGAACTCGAAAGCGAGGCCGGTGACACGTCGGAAAATAATTCTGACGAAGTTGATCAGTGGAACGAAGCTATGAAAATGTTTTTCAAAAGTGGCAATCTGAGCATGCCTTTTGAAGTTTTTACGAACATTTTGAAATATCCACTAACTTTATTCCGCAAGCCGGCGAAAGTGATTTACAAACCCAGCAAAGCCTACGAAAATATTTTAGCACATCTCATTTATCTTGAGGACAATGGGGACTTCGAACAGTCCGATAGTTATTCGAACGAGATGATGGAAAAATATCGCGAAAAGGAAGATTTTGATATTGTTGCAGGCGTAACATTAAGACGGGCACAATGCGCCCTGTATAGGAACGATTTAGATACAGTCCGACGTCTCGCGCGCGAAGCCCACGAACTCGCGGGACGCACGCGATTTCCCCCAGTTTTCCACGCGCAAGCTTTTCTCATCATGAGCAGCGTTTCAAGGTACAGACGCAAATTGGGAGAAACGAAGAAGTACCTCGATCTAGCTGAGCAAAGTTTCGAGTCGGGTTACAGTATCGAGGAATTTTCCCATTTTCATGAACTATACGGCAGCTATCTTGATATATTTCTAGGAATTTCCCCCAAACCGGACGAACAGGTTAAGGAACTTGCTCTGACCAGTTTCACGAAGATGGGCGAAGTCGGTTCGCAGCATTCCAAAGCGCGCGTGAATGATAAAAAACGATTTTACGCCATGATTAAGAGTGCAAGGATCCTGTTGGATTCGAATTCAACGTTTGGGCGAAAACAACGAACAGTGACAAAACATTCTGTTCACCTCGCCGCGGAGCGCCTCGGGGTTATAAAGCGCGAACTCCTGGGCAGCGTACCACGTGGGTCTAAAATTCAATTCCAATTGGTCGAAAGCGATTTGTATTTCAGACAAGGTAAATTCGAAGATGCTGTAGAATTGCTGAAGAAAAGTTTGGTCGAGGCAAAAGAGTTTGGCTTTAAAACGGAGGAGCCAAAGATCACACAGGTAGGAAAATTGCTTTAGAATTTAACCTATGCAAAAATCCCACTCTTGTCACAAAAACTTGGATAGTGCAGTCAAGTCAAGTGTGAACCAGCCATCTTTATAATAAACCCGGCGTACTAAATGATAATCGATGAGTATCCTAATCAATCAATACCAATCGGTACTAATATTAATCGATTAATATTGGAAATCGATGAATAATCGATGGCTTGTTAATCAGGGCATTTTTTAACTACATAACTACTGGGACTCATTTACCCGAGTAAGCCCTTCGTTTGCCCCTGTAGTGAAGCAAGATTCTCAGATGAACTCGGCCCTTTTGATTAGGCCACATAAAAAAAATTACTTGTTTAGCGTCAACCCATTTTAATTTTCCTAGGTCGGGCGGGCGGATTTTTTTTTTTCTTCGTAAAATGCAACACAAAATTCTGCTAAATGCAGGAAATCCAGTATATTACCACAGTCAAAACTCACTTTAATTCTTTCAAAATCCGTTCATGTTTTTAATAAAACAGAAATGATTACCGTTTGGCGGTCACGCGCGAACACTTTAGCTGCGAGGAAGGAGTAAACGTATTACATAGCTCCCAGAAGAATAAAATCACCATTTTTTCAAGTAAAACGGTCTTTTTTATAGAGAGTTTTTGCACTAAACTCGGACGGATAAAAAAAAAAAAAAAAAAAAATTGGAGGTCGGGGACTTTTATCAGGTCGGGCGGGGACGCTAAACAAGTAATTTTTTTTATGTGGCCTTATTAGTATTTTTATTACTAAACTTAGTATTTTGAAAAAACTGCATCAGTCTGCTTTCTCACACTCTCGAGGTCAACCAAGGGGTTATGACCGACAGGCGACATTCTTTAAAAAGAGGTGACAGACTATATAAAAAGAGCGACAAACGACAGCTTCTGACTGGGAAAAAGCGACAAATTGCGATTTGTGTTATGGGTCAAAAGTGATAGCGACATTTATTACAATAAAACAAGCGACAAAGCAGCTACAAAATGAATGACAAGCGACCTGGGTTACACCCTTGGTGGGCCTCATTCTCGACATTCCATCTTATAAAAGTCACGGGTGGGCGGTGGATGGATGTGGGTGTAACAGAACACCCCCAGTTGTCAGGTAGTCGGCAAATTATCCAATCCCAGTTGGATAGGAAGGAAAGAAACTAAAATATTTGAGTGACACCTATTAAAAACTATTATTTATTACAAATTTCACCATTAAAACTTTGTTTTGAGCACAGTAGCCCAATCTTGCAAGGGTCAGTACAGTAATGTGTATTATTGTAAAAATATGTCATAAAATATAAATTTTAACATGAAATTGACTTACCTGTTCGATAGTGTGTATATTCTTCTTTTATTCCTTTTTTGTTGGACTAATATTTTCCGAGACTTTGGAAAATATCGGTCCAACAAGGAATAAAAGGAGAATACACACTATCAAGTGGGCAAGTCAATAAAATTTTCTTTTATATTTTCAGCGAATACAAGAAATTGAGCATCTCGTGGACAAAAACATTAATGTCATTGAACAAACGTTAGATGAACGGGCAGAAAGTAGCAATACGAGTTATGACAGCGAAACTTCGCAAAATGAAGAAAGTGATGTATTTAGTTCAGAATATTTGTAATTATCTTGGATAATAGAGAAATTTCTTCCAACGATTTTGTCGGCCACAATATCTGCCATTCAACACGGTGCCACACCACCTTTTCCAAGACTGAGGAATGCCAACTTATTACTCATCCTGAAGTACTCACGAAAAATGACAAGCATTACATAAGGTAAAATTTTAGGTGCTTTTTGCATTTTTCATAAATTTCCCTACTGTTGCCAGTTTGCATTTGATCCAAATTTTTCAAAACATCTTTTTTATCAGTTG